ATTATCAGGCGGCTGGTCATGTTGAGACCAGGGCTCAGGTGCTTAGCCAGATGAGACTCGTCGCCCACCCAGAGAGACCCCCTGCTTCTTGGTACCTGCTTGTGGTGGGGGGAGCCCTTCTTTTGAGGCAAAGGCAAAGTGCTCCTCCCCAAAGGCAGAAAGGTCTATTTTATAGGACTTCTGACCTCTACAGTGTGTCCAGTGGCAAATGCACACCCACTTTGGCACAGGTAACTGAGAAATGTAACTGAAAGTTAACCAAAGTCTTGTCTACCTTAGAAGGCAAATGAAGCACCACAGAAAGAATTCACATATAGAAAACATCTTAACTGTGGAAGGAAACTGCTTCCTTCGTGTCTGAAGACAACAGGGCAGCTTTCATCAGTGAAACAACCAGACAGTCCCATTGCTTCTCTGATGTTTCCGCAGACACCTCAGACAGATACCTGGAACTCGTTGTCTTCCCTCAAGTCACCACAGACGTCACTGCTACGTTTTCCTGAGCAGCTGATTATTAGAGAACATAAAAAGTCATCCCGAGTGGCGCACAGAATCCTAGTGTGTCCTGCGGAGAATTACACTGTAATCCCACCTCGCCACCCCAGGCCACTCCTGGGTGTTTATAGCACGGATGAACTCAAGTTAGGATAAACCCGAGAGAACCTTGAAGGGAAGAGTAGTGTGTGGTCCGAGGGGCAGCCACATTTTCTTTGCTCTGAGGACGGTTGAGAGTGTGTGGGGTGACACAGAAGGAGAGCTGCTGCTGGCCTCCGCTAGGAGCCCCTGTCCCCCTGTCTCCCTGGGCACCCACGGGGGCATCTGATTTTTCCAAAACTTGTAGCCACTTCTGTTGTGTCCCTTTTGGAATCGAAGTAACAGTGGTGCTGCCCAGATCACCTTCTGTTCTTTTTTGCCACTTTCTCCAAACTGCATTATTGAGATATAATTCACCTACCATGTAGTTCATCCGTTTAAAGTATAAACGGTGCAACCATCATCACAGTCTAATTTTAGAACTTTTTAATTCATCCTAAAACAAACAAAAAATATAAACCTGCTAGCAGTCAATCCCCACTCCCCCCGAACTGCCCTCCACCCCAGCCTGGGCAACCACTAGTCTACTTCCCGTCTCTCCGGATCTGCCTATTCTGGACATTTTGTATAAATGGCACCACACAGTATGTGGTCTCTGGTGACTGGCTTCTTTCACTCAGCATGTCCTCGGGCTCATCCGTGTGGTAGCTTATATTGCCAAATAAATATTCCAGTGTAAGGGTAGGCCACATTCCGGTTGTCCCTTCATCAGTTGATGGACATTTAGAGTATTCCTACTTTTTGGCTATTAGGAATATTGCTGCTATAAACATATCTGTACTGTTTTGCCATTTTTTGAGCTGTGAATTCAGTCTGGTACAGCGAACAGCCCTGTCACGGCTAAGATGTAACTGAGATCTTTGTATTCATGCTCTGTGAGATAGCGAGACGATCTAGAAACCTGTCCCCACGAGGGCCTGACGAGAAAAGTTGAAACCAAGATATTACTCTTAAAGGTATAATTTACTTCAGTTTCGCCATAGAGCCATACAAGTACATTATAGTTGTAGAAGGGTTAGAGAAGAATGCCAGAAGACTTCATGAGCATTCCACCTGCTTGCTTAGCCCCCGTTCCGGTGTGTATGCACGTCCAGGCGCACAAGACCTAGCACTCTCTGCCTGCCTGCCCGCCTGTTGGTCCAGCTGTCCCAGCTATCTGATTCAGAACCAAAGTTGATGGGCAAGACCAACGACCAAGAAGAGGAAGCCCAGAGCCAGGGCCAGGGCCAGGACACAGCCACTGCTGCTGGGTTGGAAATACCTGGAAGCCATCCTTGGGCCATTTGGAAATGTTAATTAAGCTGGCTAATTCCCACTGGTCTTGAGTTGCCAGTGTTGAGTTGAGCATGTAGGCTTACCCCATCCACGGCTGCACCTGTTCCCTTCCTCAGAGCCATTCCAAGGGGTCTGAATAGCCCAGACAGCTCTCTGATCTCCCGCTCTGTCCGCCTTCCTGCTGGGAGGATACTTAGCGTGCGCCTAAAGCTGGAACCGCCGTCCACTGTTTCTCTCCCTCAGCCATGCCAGCTCGCAAAATCATTCCCTTCCCTAATTATCTTGGACCAGTTAATCATTTTCCACACTGACTGTTAAGTAACAGGGACCCAGGGAGAAGCAACCACTTTTCCTGTCTGACCCTGCCCAGTGTCATCCCCAGTGACGTCCCAGATGGCAGCCTTTCTTCGGAGATAGGAAGCTCAGTTCAAATCCTTGGTCTTCCGCTCCCCCAGTGAGGCCTGCCAGAGAACACATGCCACAAAAAGACCAACCGGTTCTTGAAAAGCCTCCATGAGGCAGAGCTGTGTGGAACACAGCACATCTCGGATCAAGACTATTGTTTCCTGTGTTTTAGCAAATCCTCGTTGATACCCGGAGAAGCCCAGAAGCTGCACGAGGAGGCCCACGAAGTAGGACATCATTCTCTAAGAGTGGCTTCTGGATTTTCCACTCAGAGCCACTGAGTGGCTGCAGTTTAGCCCCTTGGTGTCGCCTGCCATGGGGATGGTTCCCTCCAGAGGGGCCCCACTCTGCTTCTCTTAGACGCGAGCAGAGCCTATCCCCGAGTCCCAGCACCACTCACATGTAAGAACAACTTTGAATGTAATGCACATATTAACCTTCCCACCCAATGTGGCTCAAGCTCTTTTTCACAATCACCCCACCACGGAGGTCCCCAAGACCTCCGACCAATTTCCTCATTTGTCTCCTCCCCCCGAAACACTCCAGAAATCCTGTGTGTCTGTTTATTTACCATACCTACATCAGGGCTTTCGACGTGTAAAAAATAAGATATTTTTGCCCCCCAAGGGGTGATATTACTCTGCTAGAATGCATGCCGCTACTCCTCCACCAAAGGGCCCACAGGCAAGAGCTTCATCTGCTTTGTTCACGGCTGTAACCAAGAGCCTGAAACAGAACCTGGCACACCTCAGGTGCCCAGTTGATGAAAAGATGAAATAATTATGCTCTGTGTCTCTCCCCCACCCCCCTAAGCATCATGCGCCTCCTGTTCTCTTCCCGTCCCTCATCTCCAAGCCCCGTGTGCTCTCTTCTGGTGCCTTCCAAAGCTGCCCAGGCTAGTTGGTACCTCATGCTCACCCCCAGGGATGTTATCAGGAAGCTGACAGCCTACTCCTCTGTTCCAAGTGTGGGCCCCCGCCCTTGGGTAAGCACTGCCTGTGTGTCAAGGGCAAGTGACATTTGAGCCCCATGGAATAATTAAGGCAGCCCCCAACTGTCTCTGTCTTTGCATCTCCTTAACTCACCCATGGACTGGCAGTTACTGAGACATTCTGTTTGGTCCAGCACACCACACCAGGCTGCATCTGGGGATGCACTGGGGAGAGGAGCAAACCAGTCCTCATCAGCAATTACAAACAAGTCCTCCATTGTTAGCTGCGCCATCTGCTTTCTTGGTACGCCCAGCATAACCAGCGCTGAAGGGGCTGCAGGGGAGGGAGGCTAAGGAGCCCCTTCATGAAGAGACCCTTTGCTCACACTGGAGAGGGTAGGTAGCATGGTGCCCTGAAAAGCTGGGCCTCCCCAACTCAAGGAAGACAGACCCGTGGAGAGATGTTGTACGTCTGCCATTTTCCATGAGAAGAAATGGAGTGCTACAGCACAGTGCATTGGGAGAAAACAGGAACTCTAGATCATCGCATTATCCAAGATCCACGGAAAACATTCTAGTCTGTTACCAGCAATCAACACAGTCGCAAGAACTTCCTGTGGTCTGGAGCACTATCCACGTATAGAGAAGGAGCAGGTGACAGTGGTTGGAAATCAAGTAAGACCGATCATCCACGATCAGTTATTTATCCTGAAATTCCTAACCCCAAGTAATTCTGCGGGGGGATGAATTTTCACTAGATCATGGAAGTGCTCATTTCTCCTGGAGAGCCCCACTTGAGACTATGTCAGCGGTCCTCCTGACGGCCTTCTGAACCACCGTCTCAGAAACTGGCCCTGCTCGCTGTGCCAACCTTGGCAGGCAGGGTCAGCAGACAACCCAAGTTTACGACTGTGGCCGTGCAAACAACAGTCCGTGTCACTGATGAATGTCCTTTGTCCAGATTTGATGGTGGTCTAGTGACACTGAATTCAGGAGTGCTGTGGGGGTTGTGGTGAGGAGGTACGACGCCTGGTGTAGAATGAGGCTGAGGACTTGCTAAGGGAAACCCACCTAGGAAATAGACTGTCTGTGGGAGGGATGGGGGGAAATCAAGAAAACCTGTCACCAAGTCCGTAAAACTCAGGTCCCCTCTCAGGGTCAGCGTGTCTGCTGAGATCCTCCTGCTCTGGGAGGGAGGGTGAGCTCGCAGCCTGATTTCCCACTGCAGGGTCCCCCTCCCGGCCTCCCTCTACACCGCCGGCTGTGTGCCTCCTCCCCAGGGACTGTCACACCACAGGTGACACTAGTACTAAATTAACACACCGTGTACACCTCAGAAACCTGTGAAATGAAATGAAGAGGCGTGCAAACTTGCACACTTAGAGCCTGGCAAGTATTTTTTCAGGTCGCCCATTGAATTCCTAACGCTCATCTTGAACATTCTTAGTCTTTGATGTATTTTAGACCAAATCAGTCAGCAAATACGGGGCACCAGGAAAAGGGTCCGGTGGTCAGTGTCGCCCTGTGCCTGTAGAGCTCCCAGCAGCTTCTACACAACGCATCCTAGGAACACTATTGTCTCTCTCGTTTCACGTTTGTAAATGTGATGGCAGCTAGAATTCTGTCCTGCCAAGTAGAATTTTAAGTGAATTTTCAGTTCGTAATGATCTCCAAAGCTGTGACAACACTCAGGCAGCGCAGGAATAAATGTATTATTAGCACTGTGTTCATTATCAGGTCGGGCTGTGGGTGTGCTGGGCTTGTATTCATTTGATTTCATGTTTTTTCCTTCCAGATTAAAATATGTAAAGGTCTCATTGCGATGTTTGAGCAAGGTAAGACTGATGCTTGGGGTTTGCCCAGCCACCCTGCTCTTGGGGAGGGGTGCGTGAATTCACTAACCCACCCTCCACCAGGGCTAACACCGTGCTGAAATGTCCCCTCGAGTGCCTGCTGCCTCCCACCTTCCCTCCCGAGGGGCCCTGCCCACCCTCCTGCCCCTGCATGTCTGTGCTGCCCGGGGAAACCCAGCCTCGCCTTTCTTCTGCCCGTGCACTCCGGGCGGAATCCGACACCAACACCTGCCATCCCGGAAAATGTCTTTGTCGCCGCCCTTTTGTGTGCAGGGCCACGGGGAGCCGGTGGACCCGGGGCCGCCCCCTTTTTTGTTGCCCAAGCCAGGAGGAGCAGGATCTTGAGATGGGCCGATAAGATGTGGCACGTGCTGGGCCGGCCTTTGACCGCTCGCCTTAATGGGCGCTCCAAGGCCTCCTTGCAGCGAGAGCAGGTTGTCTGGGGGGCTGCTGAATGGAACAGCTGGGGGAGGAAGAGCAGACAAAAGCTGGGGGAGCACAGAGGGTGAAGAACCCGGGGATGGGCTGCAGTTTAGGACCCAGAGGGCAGGCTGGCTGCAGCAGGTGTGACCTCCGTGGGCCTCCCCTTTCTGCCGTGGCTCCGGGGTCCAGACCCGTCCCCGTGCCGCCTTGTGGCCGTGTGGGCTGGGGGTGGCCCCGGCGGCACTGACTCATGGGCTCACAGGTGGAAGGGAGACCAGATGGTGATGACGTTCACAGTCATAATGCGGGAGGACACCAGCGAGCTGTCATTTATTAACCATGTCACCACAGAGGAAGGCGTGGTACAGATGCCCGTCACGGTCTCAGGAACTGTGCATAGGGTGGAATGTTAGCATCTAGGCTTTCGGGTTCATCCACAGTGTCACCTCCTCCACCTGCAGGGTAGACGAGCGGCCACTGCCACAGCGAGCTGACCCTGCAGCCCAGCTGCCCTCTCTTCTCCCCTCGGCCACGGCTTTGGCCCAGTCCCAGAACTGTTCCACACCGGGCCGGCTCTCTTGAGCCCCCAGAGGCAATAAGCCCCACCGGCCCGGGTGCTCGTGGTGGGTGGAATGGAGCGGGGCTGTACAGTCCTCTCCAGAGTGGGGGCCTCCTGCAGAAGTCTTCATTGGCCAGGACCCCGTATCCATGCGTCCCTTCCCGCTCCCGCTACGGAGCGGCCAAGGGGGGCTCGAGTGCCCTTTGAACAGACCCCCGGCTTCCCGCAGGAGGAAAAGGCCGAACGAGTGGAGCGGCTGCCGGCAGCTTGCGAGTGGACTTCTCTCCTTTGTGGCCCGCCGGCTCATTCCCCAGCTGCCGCCTCCCCATCAATCAAGGGGTGCAGCGGGCATGGCAGGAGCCCCGCAGGCTGGGGCTGTGCCAGCGGGAAGTGGGGGACTGGAGGAATGCAGGGGCACAGTCGTGCAGGCTCTGGCTTTGGGAAGGGCAGCCTTCCCTTTGCCCCCAGCGGTTGGGGCCACGGCTTTCGATGCACGGGGGCCGCTTTGCTGCAGAGCTTCCTGCAGCTCCTCAAGGTCCACCACCTGCCCGCCCGCCGTCAGTCTGTCCGCCTGCCATCCTGCCCCACTGCTGGAATGCAGCGTGCACCCCTCCTCCCCCTCCTGGCCCTCCCCGGCTGGAGGCATTCAATATTCCCTTCTAATCCAGAATTACTCTTGCACTTAATATCATATCTTTGAACATCATTTTTTCTCTTTCATTCACGTGCTTTTTATTTTTTTTTTCCTTCCCTCTCTCCCAATCAGTCTGATTACAATACTGGGTAGAGTGGTTCCTAGTGAGGAATATGACATCCCAGACAGTTTGAAGCAAAGGTATTTCAAAATGGAACATTATCTAATAAGGATTGAATCAGGTTTATTCACCCCCATGTCCAGCTCCGAGGGGACAGAGAGAGACCTTTTGTCAATGCCGTCTCTGTCAGGGAGGTCAGTATGGCTGTGCTGCCTTTGTCAAAAGCAGCCTGTTTTTAAAGATGAGAACCGCAGGAGAGAGCCCCAGGACATTTCCTCTCTCTGCCTGGCCTACGGGCACCAGCAGGCAGGAGACGGTAGAGCCCCCGCGGTGGGTGCCTTAAGGTGCTGGAATTGGGAACGCACTGGGGAAGGCTGTCTCCTCAGGTCCAAGCATGTTTGTGAGTATTGATTTCAGAGGCTCCTCCTAGAAACAATAAGGTAAGGTCAGAAAACGAGAAAAGATGTTGTCGGTGAATAAGACAACTTACATAAGTTAATTTCAAATGCCAATAATAATAAAAATTTCAAAGGCCAAACCCCTTTAAGTGAAGCATTCTGGGAGGAGGATAGAAAGCCTGCTTCTGAGGTTTGATCGGATCTGGCCCGGAAGCTTGGGGTATAACACAGCCGGCTTAAAAATAGCTTATGGGGGAAGAGGGGTGATGAAACAAGCCTCTCCCTCGCAGCAGGGCCCCCGGGGGAGACCAGACTCTAGCAGCAACAGGGGCTGGGTATTGCAGCAGGCATTCCTGGATTCCTCTGAGCACCCTCGCAAGGGCCCTGGGGAGGGGGAGAGGTGCAGACACACACGCTTTGATTTTACTCCTTTTCCCTCCAGCGCTGAATGGTGCTATGCTCATCTGGACTCATTCGGGCAAGCAATTTAGTCCTGACCTCTCTCTCGGATCCTTTGGGGAATAATCCAGTTGTAACTCATCCGGTGAAATATTATATGTAAATACGTGTAAATAATAACACTGACAGGAATCCCCAAAGCTGTCCATCAAGTTTTCCTGGCTTCTTCATTGACTCTGGGCCATGCTGCTCCCTCCCTGGCTTGTCTTCCCTTTGCTGCAATCAGAGGCCTTTTCTCTTCATTCTTTACTTGTGGAATGGACGGTGAGGCCAGCTGAATATCAAAAGGATTTATAGCTTGTTTCTGCTGCAGGAGAGTCCAGAGCAAAGACCCGGAGGAAAGACATTCACGTGTTGATTCATTCAGCAAACATCTCTGCCCCGGTGACAAAGGGAGGTCGTCAAAGCCTTTCTGGGGATGTGGTGGTGCCAAGTCTCCTGAGGGCCGCAAGTCCTTCTTGGACCTGTGCCCATGAGGGCCTCCCCTGGTGCCCTGACTCGGCCTTTCTCTGCTTCCTTTGCAGGGCCCTGGCCGCCAGCCTGAGTGCCTCCCTCTCACGGCACCTCTTAACAAGGAGGAGATGAATGAGACTCCCCCTTCCCCCACCCCAAACCCCCAAACACAGAGACTCCGGGAAACATCACTGCTCTGCTGGCCCTCGGCACATCTTCCCATTAACGGACTTCCAAAGTTCAAGGTGAACCCCACCGAAACGTCGCCGGTTGGACTTTCTCACTGGGCCGTGTTATCTTGCCCTAGAACCTCACGAAACTTGAGCTTCCAAAGAAGAAGAGGGGAGGGTCACCACCACCCAGAGACAGATGCGCTCTCATGGGCCTTGACGGGGCTGCTCTCCGCAGGGATGGCAGGAGAAGATTCTGGGCTTTCGGGAAGGGGTGGAGTGCAACTGGTTTCTGTACCCCGAGTTGTTTATAAACCCAAGCAAGATTCACAGAAGGGCTGGCAAAACAGCTGCTAAACTGAGGAATTTTCTCTGCATTGATTTCACTAGTTCTTATGTTAGATTTTATGGTTTACTCCAAAATTTCATCATCATGGAAATTGGCTTTCCCTAGGGTCTTTTGCCCAGGAGAAGTTTTATCTGGGTTGCTGAGTGTTTTCCACCTGGTGCCTGATGCCCACTAACGGGGGAGAGGTTTTCCTGACCATCCTGGAGGCCCTCAGATGACTCTAGAAACCGGGTCCTGTCCCTGTGAAAGCTCCTGTGGGTCAGGAGGCTTTCAGGGCCCAGCTCAGCACAGCGCCACGTCAACACGCAAGGCGCACACCAGCGCAGGCACTAGACTGAGATAGGCCCCCCTTGATGTCCATCTGCCTCCAGAAGGTTCGCCCTGCAGTTGTGCTCTCCTGCCCACTGCTGGGGGAGGGCCCCGGCACAAATGGGGGCTTTCTACCCATTTGGCTCCAAGGAAGGCATGTTGAGCCTGTTTAAAAAAAAAAAAAAATAGAAGAAGAAGAAGAAATGAAAATCCCTACCTTCTGTCTGTGCTTGGCCAGCATCCTTGCTGGGGGTCTGAGGGTGTCAGCGACAGAAAAATCAGTTAGGAAGACCTGTCTGGCCCTCTGCCTCTCACCTAGGCCTACAGCCTGTCTCCAGAGTAAGCCCGTGGCTCAGAAGGGGTGGGGTGGGCAGCACATAGAACACAGCCGCTAAGGACCCGAGACAGATCGGTCCCTGCAAGGGTGCTTCCCCGCCTCCCGTGACTCTCTGCCTCTGTGCTCTGTGCCCACTTGGGTGTTCCCCACCCCCACCCCGGCGGCGGCTTTGGTCCCCTTCCTGGCAAGTCTCCTGAGCCCCCTCAGTCCATCAGGGTGGCCGTTTTCACTGACCAATCCGTTCTTTCCATGCGCTGTTGCGTTGGTTTGGCCAGTACCTGACCCTTGTTCCCCACCCCTGCTCCAGGCGCCCACCCTCGCCTTTTAAATAATTTGGACTTTCTGGTAGGCACGGTTTGTCCACTATCGCTCAGACAGCAGACTTGTGTTGAGCAGCTCCACTGGATATTTACGAAGTGCCCAGACCTCGTTCCTGCAGGGGAGAGCATCACCTGTCCCTGGGCTCCAGAGTCCCAGGCAGGCTCTGACAGCCAGTAGCTTCTGGGAGGACATTTTATTTCCTGGCTCTAGAAAACCCCTGTGGCATAATTCTTGGATTGAGCTGAAGTGTCAGGACTTGGAAGTCGCATTGGACTCCCCTGGACTTGTGCTCTGTGAACCAGTCCTCCTAACTGGCAAGTGGGAAACTCGGTTGTAGGCAGCATATACCTAGACCTTTCCTGTCATCCCTCCTGATTTTAACTTCCCTGTGACCCCAGACTCCAGCCAGCGGTTTGGGGACTGGAGCTGCTTCTGAGCCCACTGTTGTCAGCGGCAGCATTGGGGTGGAATAGGGAGCAGGGAATCTAGCAACCAGGTTTGCTTACGATCACATGGACCTGAATCACTTTTGTTATTTGGGGTGGAAAATTGAAATGATCAAGCTCTTTTTTTTTTTTTTTTCACTTAGAAAAGCAAATATTGTGCTTTTTGCAATAAATGCCTTTCCAGCAAAATTATGGAGGTTCACTCATCCGGCGGGGACCCACCTGAGTCACAGTGCTGACTCGTCGCATTAATAGGTCAGCCATCTGTACTCGAAAGTGGCCCTAATCGGCCCAAAATGGGTAAGACTCGCCGGCTTCCGGGCAGGGCCAGGCCCATCCCCCCACTTCTCTGCACGCTGATCTCTGCACACTGATTTCCGTCCAAAGCAAAGCTGATGTTCCATAGTCTCACTGAGAAGGTGTTTTTTGTACTTTAAAAAAACCCAAAGGGGTGCCTGGGTGGCTCAGTTGGTTAAGCGACTGCCTTCGGCTCAGGTCATGATCCTGGAGTCCCGGGATCGAGTCCTGCATCAGGCTCCCTGCTCGGCAGGGAGTCTGCTTCTCCCTCTGACCCTCCCCCCTCTCATGTGCTCTCTCTCATTCTCTCTCTCAAATAAATAAATAAAATCTTTAAAAAAAAAAAACAAAATGATGACTTCTTAAAAATGGTAAAATCTGAAGTAGACAGCAGTGAGGAAATTTCGCTTGGGTAAGTGACTGTCACAGTGTCTTCATGCCCTGAAGGCTGCAGTTTGCTAAGAGCCACAGGGAGGAAGGGGAGTCAAGCCTGGCCTTCACAAAAGGGGCTGACCGACGACGGGACCCTCAGCCTTACAGACAAGATCATGCGGATCTGCAGACCATGCAAATCACGTCTTCCTGACCTTCCTCCCGGTGTGGCCGCCTGCGCTTCACTTCCTGGTACATCTGTATCATCTGGAGGCTTGAGGGATCCTTTACAACGTACTGTGACGTCACATGTAACTGTGCGTCGTGTCTGTATCTACTGGAAAGAAATTCAACATGAAACAACCACTGTTTTAGCTACACTCAGTACCTGTGTATGATACACACACGAAGTGAATGTTTTCTTATGGTTTCAGGTCGACAACATTTAGTTCATGTAAATAAGAAAAAGAAACTGATAAATATGGGAAATTAAGTTATAGGATGTCATTTGACTTTTGTTTTGCTCTCTTATTTAATTTGTCTAACGCCCCACATCTGGGTTTATGCCTACGCGGGGTAGAATCCACCTGTGCAGACACGTGCATGCCACACCTGGGAAAGCACACGGCTCCGCTGATGAGCGCCGCTCAACTCTCCAGTTTACCCTCTTTTTCTCTTTAATTCTGATTTGCTGTGATGAATTTAATAAGGTAGAAACACAGCACTTCAGTGCCGTATGTTTCTTTTGTTTTCTTTATAGTTTCTAGGAAAATAAAGTTTATCCTGGCATCTCACAAAAGATGGCTTGCTTTTTTTATCAGAGTTGCTCAAAAGCCTCTTTTTTTTTTTTAACCAAAGCCTAATTATGTATCCCAAAATGGTAGCCAGTACCAGTCCAGGGAAGTTTACAAATGTGTTTATGTAAAGTCAGTCAGGAGTCCCTGGCCCTGATGGTCAAGAGGCTGACTTTGAGGGTTTGTCTTTGTGAGTAAGTGGTAGATAAAATGTAATACCAGCCTCCTGCTGGTGTGGTCGAGGCCCCGTTGATGGCCCTGCCTCAGGGCTCCCACCATCGTATTCCGAAGGCCTGGCCAGGTGTTCTCCACCAGCGTCCCGGGCTAGTCCCACGCTCTGGACGCCGGGGAACTTTCAACATGTTGGACAGTCGAGCTGTCTAAAAATCATCCATTGGTCCATTTCACAAATAGCTGTTGAGTCCCTATTACTTACAAGACATTTCAGTGACCTCACAAAGGATCCAGGTGCCTTCCCGGGAGCCAGGAAGAACCTGAACCGATGTGGCTTTTTAAAGCTTTGGACTGGTAGCAAGTGCTTTTACCACTTGGTTCCTCATAGAACATAGCTTGATGCAGTTTTAGAGCTTTGTTTCCTAGAAGTGGTGGTTCCCAGCCTTGTTGGACATCAGAATCATTCAGGAAGCCTCAGAGGTGCTTCCATCTGACCCACCATGTCTGGATAGAACCTCAGCACCTAATTTTTAAAGTCCCCCTCTGCCCCCTCGAGGATCCCGACCTGCAGACAGATTTGGATCGAGTCGCTGGAACCGACCCCATTGTGATGCTCTGGGCAGCCCTTACTCCCCATGCCGCACAGGTACCCTGGGGTGAAGGGAGCAAGAGCGAAGAGTCCCTGAGGCACTAACTGCTCAGTGTAGTGTCCTGCCCATCCTAATGATTCCACTTTGTAGATGGCCCCGCTCCCTCCAGGATAATTTATGGATTCTCTTCCGATCTGGAAATAGTTATTTGAATTTCACAGGATATTGTTATGGAAGTCTCATACAGCAGTTTATTGTCTTATTTATAACAAAAAGATGGGGGAGGGTGTCCTAGTCATCATACTTCCAGTCATTCTCAAAAAATGCTCATCAAATCTTAGGCCAAGTTATGCAAGACCTTCAGCAGAATTCCAAAAAGAATCCAACTTCCACTCGTTCCAAAAGGACCATTGCTACAAGTAGTGTTCTCCTTGAAATTTCTTGGCTTTTGCCAGGTGCCAGGTTTTAAAGAAAGAACACCTTTAAGGTACACCCTGGCCATAATAAAATACTCTGTTACTGGGTAAATGCCAGAGTGTTTTACGTTTGCTCCAGTAAAGAGTATCTCTCAGGAATAAGACTCAGACGTTTGTATTTGTTCACGTCTGTACACATTTGAGCTAGCGTTATAGTCTTGTGTATGTGTATAAACTATTAAATTGAGGCCCCTTTGATTTATTAAACAGTTTATGTCAAGGGGAACTATTATCATTTACTCTTCTGTAAATGGAAATGGTTTTAATTGCATTTCATTTTTCAAATCAAAAAGCTAAGGTCAGGGAGATGGAACACACTGCAAACGTCATCCCCGTGTATCTGGTCTACCCAGGACTATCGGCTAGACTGTCTCCACACTCCCACCACCTCCTGCAGCTACTGAAATCGAGGCCCAAAGATGGCTACCTGGGGCTCACACAGCTAGAAAGTGGAGCTTCAAAAAGGAGCTAGGTTTCCTGGCCCCGTTTTTTGACCACAACTCCAACCAGCAGCAATCACAGATCTTCATCAGTGCACAGACTGTTAGTAGTTTCCATGTTCCTTCTGGCCCCTGTGAAGGTTTTCCTGGGGCCAAGTCAGAAGCCACCCTGACCTTTCTCTCACTTGGACCAGGCACAACAGGGACCAGCATTTTCTAGCATCGGGGAGCTTGTTTTACTGGGATACTCTCCCATCAGTGTCCTTGCATGCCCCAAAGACCGCCCTTGAGCAGAACAAAAAGAGACTGGCTCCTAAAACTGAGGCCAGAGTCTCTTTGCCTGTTGCCTACTGCAGCTTAAACCACATCCTCACCCCCAGGCAACCTAACAAGCTCAGTTGACAGCCCCAGGAATCAGGGGCATTTTAAACAAGAGCACCATCCTCTCTGTCTCAAATAGGCTCTCAGATGTGCCCTCCAAAACTAGCAGATGACAGCAACCAAAACAGCAGGAACTCTGAAATGATGCTCTTTCTTGGTAATATAAAAGAATTTTCTAGAATTGGAGATTGCTTCTTTTTATTATCATTTTAAATTAAAAGTACTTTGAATACCCAAGTCTCTGCCATCCTAAATGAAATTAGGTAAGATGAAGGGGGTGAGAATTTATAACAGGCTCTCGTGTTTAGAAATACTTCTCTGGAAGATTCTGCCTCTTACAGAACAAATGAGAAATCAGGGAGTCCCAGTTAGCATCCCCCCTTTTGTACCATGTCTGACAAGAAAAACACCAACTAGATTTTTTTTTACATTCACACCAAGATATTCCTGCCTCATATATCAGAGGACATTGTGTCTGTAATCAAAAATTCTATTTAAAACATTATTTGGGGAAATAAAGATTAAATGACTAAATTCTGTCTGGGACAAGAGTTCCCTTCCCTATGTGTCCAGGTGTAATTTTTAATCTTCCACTTCTATGTACCACCTGTCCCTCTAGCAAAATGCTTGTTGAGCTTGACAGAATATTCTACATAAAGAGGTCACACTTGTCGGCTTCCACCTTGACGTGGGGTCCTGGGCGTCTGAAAATTAGAGTGTGCCTCTCACTGAGGGTGTGAAGTGGGAAGGGGCTTACTATTATAGCTCCTGAAAGGATCTTTTTGACTTCAGAAAATAGCCTGGTGAAGAAAAGCTTTTTTCTCCCATGAATACTCAGGGACTGCATTATGCTCCTGAGATGGCGGAGGTGAGTACTTTGGATCAATATTCCCTGAGAAATGGCCGCTGGGCTAAGTGCAGGCAGAGGGCCTCAATAACAGATCTCCCTCCCGCCAAGCCGACAGAGCATTTGCCACAAATCTGCCACGAACAGTTTGAACCAGCGAGGGCTGCCCCTTAATGGCATCATCTTCTCCTCCCTTTAAAAAATGTCACCCCATTTTTTTTCTATGTTGATGGCTGATTATGGGTCCACTAGAAACAGTTATTTCTATGGCCTGCCTTCAGGGAAATCTTGGCATCTTCATTTTAAGGCACCACGAAAAGGCACCTTGGAACTGTTTCAACCTGAGGGAAGAGGGCAGAATGCCAGTAAGAAAAGTCAGATCAGGGAAGATGTATTTACTAACCACCCATGAGATTTTCACAAAACAGCCAACGTATGGATTTGTACTTTATACCATGTAGTCTATATTTTTTTCCTTCTAAAACTAATAATCTGTCGTCATTCTAACCCCGTACCCCATCCAGTCAATAAGCGGATTCTCTTCAGATTAATGCAAACACACACGGGGATACAGGGCTTTCTTATGTACAGAAGTAGCATCATATAATACACAGCATTACAACTTTGCAATATGTCATGGGCACCTGTCCTCCTAATTTATCCTTTTTTTAACAGTTGCATATTGTTCCTCAGAATAGATGTACCTTTCTTAACCCATCTGTGGGCTCTCAGGTGGTTTCCAGTGTTTGTTACGACAGACGTGCCTACAG